GCATCAAATCATGTTGAGAATTCAAAATACGAGAAATCAACCACTTCTCACCACTTCCCTAGCTACCATGACAACTGAAATCACCTTGTTCTCTTGCCTGGACTTCTGCAGTAGCCTCTCCATGTTTCCTTTTTTTGCTCCCCTAAAGTTTATTGTCAGAGTAGCCAGAACATCCATGTCTCTCCTCTTCTCAGAATCCCCCAGAGCTTCCCCTCATTCAGAGTGAAAGCCGAAGTCCTTCCTGTGACGACGAGACCCTGCCTGATCTGGGCCTATTGCTTTGCTGACTGCGCCTCCTTTTCCTTTTCCGTTGCTCTGCTCCAGCTGTTTCCCATCTTGCATCCCTGTGGTTCACTGCATTATCATCAACTGGCAGTAAGTTAGTCCAAACAACGATGATCTCTCACCTAGAATACTGCAACAAGCTGGTCTCTCTCCAGACAATTGGCTGTGGCTGTGTAACTAATCTCCGCTCACCATCTACCCCTGCACTTCTCTATGTCTCTCCCCTGTGTGTCCCTTAAAAGAACTCTTACCGGATATATAGGACCCACCTGGAAAATTAAGGATAATCTCAAGATTCTTAATTGCAGACCCTTTTTCCAAGTAAGATAAAGCTTTAGTGATATTATACAACTTAGCAGAAAAAAGTGAGGTTTTTTTGTTTAGTCATGGCAAGTGAAGCACAGTGTCTTACTCTGCCAGTGGGAGGAAAGGGAGATGGACATTTTCAGGAAGTGAGCAAAGGTGGAGAAAGATGAGCTTGGTATGTTGGTGAGACTGTGAGGAAACTGCCTGAGCATAGTAAGGTTGTAGATAAATCAGACAGACAGATTTCATCATTTAGGCCTTGAAAGCTAAGCAGAGAAGTTGAAATTTAAATCCATAACTGATTAGGAAGCGGGGCTAGGAAGTGACATGATAAAAAAAGTCTCACTTAACAGGGAAAATAATAATGCAGGCTTCTAGGGCGTAAAGGGCAGGAATGCTGCTAATAACCATCCTACAAAGCACACAGCAAAGAATTTTCCAGAGTGGTAGTGAGAGTGGAGAGATGAGAGGGCTTCATAGGAAAAATGATTTGTTGACTTGCTGAATCACTGCATGTATTAAAGACAAGGTGGATAAAAACTGAATGTCACTCTAAGCCTGAGTAACTGATAAAAGTTGTAGTAGAAAACTAAGCTGGAATGGACAACGTGGTTTGAAGTAAAACCATGGCCTTGAAATATACCAAGTATGTACTGTCACATTTTCTACAAATACAGCAAGCATAAGTGATCTTAATACACAGTAAAGACGTGAATGAACTATAGCCATATCCTTACTCCCAGTTGAGCCATCAAAGAACCAGACCTGGCTGTGGGGCTCTGAAGGTGAAGACAAGAAATGTCATCAATTTGGAGTCTTTTGTAAAAATGTCTCGGTTGGGAGGAGGAGAGGGTAGTGCTTATAATAATTATACCTTTTAAAAGTAAGAATGATTCAAAATCAGTTCCTTTGACATTTTTTTCCAAATTGAAGTTGACATAGTCTTCATACACATACACACACAGACATGAAAAATAATTGGAACATGTATGTATATATACACATACATATCTATAAATAAAATTTTTAATTTAAAAAATTTCCTACTTTCAGAACATGCATAGAAATTTCTTTCTCTTGAGTTCCCTTTACTAGGACTTCAGTAGGTCTGCTTTGCATACTTAATTAATGCCTTTGGCATGGTCTTTAAGTACTTTCTTAGTTCGTGAAGGGAAAATGAAGTTATATTCAGTAGATTTGGTTTCCCATATTCAAAATTATATCTTGGAGATGGAGGAATGACACCTTCTCTAGTGCAATGGGTACTTCAGTGTTTGATTCCCTGCTGGGTTAGTTTCTAAGGCCACTCTAACAAATAACCACAGACTTGGTGACTTAAAACAGCAGAAGCTTATGCTTGTAGTTCTAAAGGCCAGAGGTCCAAAATCAAGTGTCAGCAGGGCCACACTCCCTCCAAAGGCTCTAGGGGAGAATCTCTCCTTGCCTCTTCCAGCTTCTGGCAGCTCCAGGCATTCCTTGGCTGTGGCTGTGTAACTAATCTCCCCTCACCATCTACCCCTGACCACTTCTCTGTCTCCCCTGTGTGTCCCTTAAAAGAACTCTTACGGGATATATAGGGCCCACCTGGAAAATTAAGGATGATCTCCTCTCAAGATTCTTAATTGCAGACCCTTTTTCCAAATAAGTCACATTCACAGGTTCTGAGGATATGCACATATCTTTTGGGGTCCACATTCAGCCCATTAAACCCTCTGTGTACATGTCCATTATTTGTTGCACAGACTCTAATTGGCTGCCTCTACTGAAGATCTGGATTTTGACTGTGGTGAAATTAATTTTCCTGTAACTTTACCGTTAACTTATGGTTCTCCCTCTGTGAAACCATGAGAAACAAAAAACCAACCTTTTTTCTTTGAAAATCCTTCATTTGTCCCTGAGACATATCCTTCAAACTAAACACCTCTGGTTCCCTCAGTCATTTATCTCAAAACTATGGCTTTCATTCTTCTAATCATCTTGGTTGTGCTTCTCTAAAGGACTCAGAGGCAGTAGAAAGAATACTGAATCTGGAATTGAAGACTTAGTACTGGGGTCATGTCTCTTCCACTAAGTAGGTAGACTAAGGCAAGTCAATTTCTTTTAAATGATAAAAACACTGGACCATTCTACTTCACTGCATGCTTTTTACAGTCAAATGAGATTATTACAAAACCTGTAAGAAAGATTCCAATTATCTGTATACTTGTAAAAAAAAAATTTATTCTCAGAACAGAACATAGGTCTCTCTGTGTAGTCTCATCCAGCACAAAGCAGGTGGCACTGGCATATTCCCTGATTATCTGCTGTTTCTTTTAATACAGCCTGAGAATTTATTAATAGCTTTTTATGTAAAAGTGGAAAAATAGGAAATACATAGTTCTTTTTCCAGTTATTCAATATAATACTCCCCTTTAAGGAATCCTGTTTGTGGTGTTGAGGACCTCTTCTGGTTATAGTGAATGACCACATTCTCATCTAAACCTGCAGTTTACTAATGTGATTCTCTATCTATATTGAATTAAGATGCCTTTGATTTGTATCTGGTGGTAATACATTTTAACTTCTAAAATGAATTACATTCTTCTAGATTGCCTAATAGATCTATAAATCCATGTACTTTTGCAAAGTAAATGTGTAATAGTTCTGAGCTATTATACTGTTCAACTTGAATTGACCCCTTAAGAATTTGAAAAAAATATATGAATTCTGTCCTAATATATGATCTGTTTCAAAACTGCCCTATTTGAATCTTTGGCTCTAATCACTCTCTATTTTGTTTTAATGTTACATAAACACCCTGTGACTCTTTCTAGAAGAAGTAGTAAAGTCAGTAAAGTAATGAAGTAATGAAAGTAATAAAGTCAGTGTTGTAAGATCCACTTTTCAGGAATTTTGAAGGTTGGTTTTCAATGAATACTTATTTCAATTTATTCTTCCAACATTTGAAACAGTTTCTATATTTATAACTTGAAAGTAGAGATACTTGTGGGTTTGGAGAGCTGTACAGATAGTCTTCATATGATGCGTTCATCGAATAACAACTACTCATTACAGAGCTGTAGGACTCTAGCAGATTCCTTCCAAAGTGTCCCCATGTTGTTATGTCTTCTCAGTTAGGTCATTTCTTTGCAAGCCATCCCATACAAATTTGAATGATTCCCAGCCACCCTGTAGAAGCCTAGTGTTACCTTTGCTTATCCTGAATTTGCTTTAATATCATTTTTGTGTATCTCAATGTAGGGCCAAACTACATGTCCAATTTATGTTTTATTGCTTCAATTAAACACAAAGCTGTATCTTCTTGATGGGGGTGTGAAACATTTGGTAGAGAATAAAGAACAGTTCAAGACCTTGCTCACAGTAATTTTACAGCACAACAAATTTGCCTGTTGGACACTTTGTAATCAGCAACTTTGGAGAATTTAATACAAAGCTTTTAAATTCCTTTTCCTTTTATTTTCCCTAAAAACTGATATCCTTCAACCTTTATGAAGTGTATCTTTTCCTCAGCCAATTGAAATTAAGAATGTCCAGTAATTGTTACTTACCATTCATCTCAGTAAGATTATTTTATTCTTGAGAATAATAGTTCTTGACCCTATCTAAGTTGTGATAGATCTGTTTATGGAGAAATGTTTCAGAGGACAAAACGTGTGCTTGTTTTTGCCAATCAGAAAAATGTGACAGAATATAGGTAAAGTCTAACCTTTTCTTTTTCATTTGCAGGATGAGGAAAGGGATAATGAAGGGAATTTATTCTTAAACTAATTCATCATCTTTATAAAGATCCACAGATCTCATGCCTTTGTTGTTTTCAGTGAGCCCGGTTAAAATGGAAAGTCTTAAAGACCTCTGTGGCACGCATACACCGCCTTGGAGAAGTAATATCCAGCTTGCTGCCCCTGTGAATGTGAATGAATTTATGAATTTTCACTTATTGGTGGTGTTCATTTGACTGGCCACCTTAAAAGAAACAGAGATCTTATATATTGCTTTCAAGTCTGATTTTTCTTCACAGTCTTCCTCCCCCATTTAGTAGAAGTTGAGATGTCAGCTCCAAGGTAATGGGGGAAAAATTTTCTAGGATCTTAATCTTAGGATGCTAAGTTTATGATAAATAACTATGGAATTTAGGGCCTTAACACCTTAGGGTTACTGACTCGCTTTCTTATATATTAGTCCCATGTTGCATGACCTGTTCAATTTTTTCTTTGAAACAAAGCAAGCATTGATTTGATTTGGCTAATGTTATGAAGATACAGGATAATGGGTTGCAATAACTATAAGTGCTTTAGTCCAAGTTTTCAGATGTGTATGCTATATCCAAGAAACTTCCACATTTGTTAACAACTTAGAGGTGGTTTTACTCAAGTTTTAGAAAACTTATGATCCCACTTTACCTTTTTTAGGTTTCCATTATACCCCAAAGGAGGGGAGAAGTTACAGTTTGATTACGGTGTCTATCTTCTGAACAAAAATATAGCACAGGTAAGTCCTTCCTCTTCACCCCTCGCCTGCTTCCCACATGCACCCTGCTTCCTTAGATTGGTTGACCTCTTTGGATAAAAAAGTGCTACAGTTGAATGTTTAATTTAACCAGTTACAATGATAATGCAAAGTTCTTTTAAGGTCACAGCCTTATTCTGTGACATTATAAATATTACAGAGAAGCAATGAGATGACACTGGAATCCTCCTACTAAACTCAGAAGCCCTTTACTGAGTTGTTACTTGTCAGTGGACTGTATTTGAGTGTGTGGACTTAGAACCTCTTGCTTCTGCAGCTTTCTTCTCTTAGACCACTTTCAGGGACTCATTTAGTATTGGGAGTTGATGGAGTAAAAGTTTATACCTTCAGCAAGTCCTTAATGGTTTCCTTACCTTATTATCCAGAACTGAAAAGAAAACACCAAGCACATAGTCCTTCCAATTCATCTTGGGTTTTTGTGGCTCTCTCAACATCACATGAGTTAGTGTCTCATTTAAATAGTGTCTTCCCACATACTGTAGAAAGACTACAGATGAGTGCATTTGCATGTTCCTAAAAGAAATATGCAACATTTCTTTAGCATACTTGGCTCTACTTCAAGAAGTAGACATATTCCATACATTTTCTAGTTGTAAAAGAAGATCATCTTCAGTACTTTTATTTGGACATCCTTCCAATCAGAATATCACAATGAGGAGTATTCACAGTTTGGCTTTTATTTAAAGACATTACCAGCTATATCCTCAGAACTTTTCTTTTTAAAGAAGCAGCAAGGTTTTTGATGCTTTTGTTTTTATCAGTCCAAGTTGCCTTTTATCCACATGAATCTAAAGACTGAATAGTTCCCTTATTCATTCCTGAAGGATCTGAAATTATTTCTCCACATTGTGTCATCTTTGCCTTTCTTCCCCTTATCCAACCTCAGCTTTATGTTTTTTTTTAATTTGGTTTTTATTAAACCCTGAGCCTTTTATGATAATGGATCAAATTTCTAGTTTGCAGCCTTTAATTAATCATTTGCTTTATAACCTCGTACTTGTGCCCACTCAGTTATTCTGCTTTACTGTTACTGCCACTCCAGTTCATGCTCTTTACTTTAAGGCAAGCAGCCTTGCTCACAGTCTCTGGCAAATGACTCATCTTTCCATGTGCTGTTCTTCCCACAACTTCTGCTTTCCCTCCCTCCATTTTTGGCAAAAAAGTATCTCAGTCTAAGAAACAGGACTTTAATTTCAAGGCTGCCTAGCTCACACTACTGATTGCAGTTTTTATACCATAGACAGAGCAGTGCTTAGATAGAACTTGTCAAAAAGTGGCAAACTGAGAGTGTATAAGGTCGAAGAGGTCTGGATGAATTAAGGGCTCCTCCAGGTGAGGTCCACCAAGGTGGAAAAGAGCACATGGATAATGGGGGCCAGAGTCTGGGAGTCAGGATGTCAGGGTATCAGGAAGGTCGGTCTCATTTAGTAGAACTAGTTCTGATCTCAGTTCAGAGGTTCTTCTCTCCTAGCCCCATATTTTGTTTCTTGCTCTTAAGCACACTCAAGTCAGAAGTCCTTTGGAAGATTGCAAGTGAAAACTATGCCTGATTAAGACTTGAGCCAAAATATCTGAATATCCTCATAAATCCCAGCTTCAGACGTATTCCCATACACATATGCACACACACATACACACACTTAGTTCTTTCTTCTTAGGGCCCAATAGGAATGCCAAATGAAGGTATGAAGAGGTAATGAGAATAGCTCAGCTTGCTTTGAAAACAAGACAAAGATGGAGGCTGACTGTGCAGTGGAAAGTTTGGAGTCTGTCCTCCAGACTCTGAGCTCTGGCACCTGTTTGGCCCTCACTCTGGAGCACTTCCCAAGCTGCCCCTGACTTTATTAGCTGAACTGAGACCACAAGTATGCCGACCTAGTTTTATTCATCTGTGTAAAAATTAGATTATTTCTAGAAGTTTTGTATCCTCTGCACCTTCATACTCTTTTGAAAATTGAGAGATTAATTGTATTTATGTGTGTCTAAGATCAATAGGTTAAGCACTGTAAGCAAGCATTTTGCTCTCGTGTTTTTTTCATCATTGTTGGGGCAGTTTTAAAAGGAGAGGACAATAAACTTTTTATAGACAGACTTTCTTAGGTTTCAGAGTTCATTCCGGAAGCCCCTTTTGAGCATTTAGAAAGCAATGTAGCAAATTTGTGACCTTTAACCTTTTTTTGCTTCAGCTCTGTTTCGTCTCTTAATATTTCTTGCGGGATGTTTCGTTTTGTCCATGGTGTTACTACCATCACTATTACATTTCAATTTACAACAAATCAGAGAACCATTAATTATTATGGCTCTTAATTGGGTATTGTATCAATAAGCTATTTCCCACTTTTGAAGGTTTATTTTCTATGCATGCATATATATACCAACACATGTTGTCAAAGGGGAGTTTGTCTTCTCAGCCAGTCTCATTTGTACGCCATCTCTAGAGATGTGAACAAATCATGCTATTAAAATGGCCCCACCTCAGTAATTTATAGGCTGCATTAGTGGAGGTGGATGAAAGCATTGGCATGTGTTAAAGGGCCAGAGAAAGAGGGGTGAAGTCATTTAATGCTGCATCCATAACTTGGTTGTGGATTTGAATAGTCAATAGGACCTTTCATCACCACCAGAAGTAGTAGTAAAATCACTCTTTTGGTAGAGGAAATGACAGAATGTAGTAATATTTGTTACTTCAGTGTTTGGGATCAGTCCAGCCCAAGTTTTGAAAAAACACACTTGGAAAGACAGGCCTTCAAGTAGAAATGCTCAAGTGTTGTTTGAAGAACTGAAAGGACTGGTAAGGCCTGCTTACCCTTTTCCTGTCATTGCTGTCTAAAGGGGTGTGTGTGTGTGTGTGTACACGTATGTGTGCATGTGTGCTAGGTTAGTTACTGGAAGTGAATAAAGCAGAATTCCTTGTTTTTAGCACCATTTACTAATATTTTTCAAGTATCAGCCCCTTTATCTGGAAATAGCCTTCTTTGTTGGTCAGCATGTAACACTATAGGAATGGGCCTGGCAAAATTGAGGGGCAGTCTAATTAACAGTGATTTAACAAACCAGGCCATGCTCTAATTGTCAGTAAGTTTAAAAGTACATTATATTAGACTTTGTGCATAACACAGTCATTTGCTTTTAGTTCCCAGAACATAAAAAGTAGAAAATCAAAAGTTAGAATACTTTTACATTTATGGAGAGTTTTGTAGTTTGTAGCACACATACATATATATCCATGTGACCCGCATCATCCACCCTACAAAATGAAAAGGGCAGCTAATGTTAAATGAATTTAAAGAGTTTGGCTGTTGACATCCATCACTCCAGTGTAGTATTACAAAATTTGACAAGCTTGGTAGAGATTCCCATATTTCTTTATTTTCTTAATTTTTTTAATTTTTAATTTTTATTTTTTATTAAGGTATAATTGATAAACACTCTTATGAAGGTTTCACATGAAAAACATTGTGATTACTACATTCACCCATATTATCAAGTACCCATCCAAACCCCATTACAGTCACTGTCCATCAGCGTAGTAAGGTGCCAAAGAGTCTGTGCTACGCAGTTTTCCCTGTGACCCCCCACACCATGTGTACTAATCATAATAACCTCTCAATCCCCTTCTTGCTCCCTCCCCACCTGCCCTCCCAAACCCCCACTTTGGTAACTGCTAGTCCATTCTTGGAGTCTGTGAGTCTGCTGCTGTTTTGTTCCTTCAGTTTGCTTTGTTGTTATACTCCACAAATGAGGGAAATCATTTGGTATTTGTTTTTCTCTGCCTGACTTATTTCACTGAACATAATACCCTCTAACTCCATCCGTTGTTGCAAATGGTAGGATTTGTTTCTTTCTTATGGCTGAATAATATTCCATTGTGTATATGTACCACATCTACTTTATCTGTTCATCTACTGATGGACACTTAGGTTGCTTCCATATCTTGGCTTTTATAAATAGTGCTGCAGTAAACATAGGGGTTCAGATGTCTTTTTGAATCTGGGATCTTGTTTTCTTTGGGTAAATTCCAAGAGTGAAATTTCCAGGTCAAATGGTATTTCTATTTTTAGTTTTTTGAGGAACCTCCATATTGCTTTCCATTGTTTTCTTTGGGTAAATTCCAAGAGTGAAATTTCCAGGTCAAATGGTATTTCTATTTTTAGTTTTTTGAGGAACCTCCATATTGCTTTCCACAATGGTTCAACTAGTTTACATTCCCACCAGCAGTGTAGAAGGGTTCCTCTTTCTCCTCATCCTCACCAGCATTTGTTGTTCCTAGTCTTTTCCATGTTGGCCATCCTGACTGGTGTGAGGTGATATCTCATTGTGATTTAATTTGCATTTCCCTGATAATTAGCTATGTGGAGCATCTTTTCACGTGCCTGTTAGCAATCTGAATTTCTTCTTTGGAGAAGTGTCTGTTCATATCCTCCGCCCATTTTTTAATCAGGTTATTTGCTTTTTGGGTGTTGAGGTGTATGAGTTCTTTATATATTTTGGATGTTAACCCCTGTCAGATACGTCATTTACAAATATATTCTCCCATACTGTAGGATGCCTTTTTGTTCTACTGATGGTGTCCTTTGCTGTACAGAAGCTTTTTAGTTTGATGTAGTCCCATTTGTTCATTTTTGCTTTTCCCTTGCCCAAGGAGATGCATTCAGAAAAAAGTTGCTCATGTTTACATTCAAGAGATTTTTGCCTGTATTTTCTTCTAAGAGTTTTATGATTTCATGACTTACATCCAGGTCTTTGATCCACTTTGAGTTTACTTTTGTGTATGGGCTTAGACAATAATCCAGTTTCATTCTCTTGCATGTAGCTGTCCAGTTTTGCCAACACTAATTGTTGAAGAGGCTGTCATTTCCCCATTGTATATCCATGGCTCCTTTATCATATATTAATTGATCATATATGCTTGGGTTTATATCTGGGCTCTCTATTCTGTTCCATTAATCTCTGGGTCTGTT